GACAATAATCAATCATGTATGGTAAAAAAAAATATACAACTTTGCCAAGACTTGTAAAAGATGATACTGCAATTATGAATTACAAGCAGTGAATGCACAAATCAAAGGTTGTTCAAGCAGAAATAAATGGAAATGACAAATTAAATAAGAGGATAATGTGGGCTTAAATTAAGCACATAAATCTTAATAACAATAATTAATAAACCAGTGTTGTTACTATAAAGAATCATAATGAAAGAATGAATTACAATTCTAATAGACCAGTAGATATAGTCCCTATATACTGTATAGGGTGCATGAATACTGTCTAGAGGCTTCATTACTGTAAAAAGACAAGATCTAAATATATTTGTAACAAAGTTGAAAACTGCTGCCAACTGGGTAATTAAATAAATAAAATAATTAAATTACTACCATTTCATTTATTGAATAATCATTCAGATAAATAAGATGCCGAACCATCTAGAAAAACATAAGCTCAATACACTCATACTTTTAATACATTTATTAAACCTGTCTTCATTTATTCATTTGATTATTCAGTCTGCAGAAAAAATAACTAAGCTCTATAAAAATGAATAGTCAATGTCCAATATGCTTTCTTTAAAATGTCTCACATCTGTTGTTTACAATCAATTATGATATAAAAGCACTATCAGGAGACTGATTTTGTAATTCATAGTTTTGATATCCTTGTGGTACATTTATAATGCACAGTCCCTTATTTTTAGGAATCATTCAGAAACACAACTGTAAATTGAAGTTATCTTTCCCTCCATGAAACACACCCTCATAATCATCTATCGAAATTAAACATTGAGCAAATTATTATTATTATCATTATTATCAATAGTAGTAGCATCGTCATCATTATCAGTCATCATCATCAATCATTATCATAAAAGAATAATTATTCTTTTTAGAGACAAATAGATAGATAGTTATTCTCTTACTCCCTTTTAGATCATTTATAAAAAGTTTGGAAGATTAAGATTACAAACAAGTAAAGAAAACTCATCTGAAATCACAAAGTGTCATCAGTGTCAGGAACAGGTGTGACTGCTGTATCAAGGAGAACAGAAGCAATGCTACCAACATCTGGAACAAGTGTCGAAGGTGCTTTGTATGAAGCAGCTGTACTAGGATGAATGGTTTCATCAATAACCTCAGGTCTTACAGGTAGATCAGCTGTATAAGGTGGAATGATTGTAGAAGCTGCAAGAAGTGGAGCAGGTGGAGCAAGTGGAGAAGGTGGAGTGGAAGTTACAGGTGGTGAATCTTGAGCAAATGTGCAATTGCTTTCAGGTCCTGCTTCTGAACTCTTGTACAAGCAATACTGACCATCTGTTGGGGTGATATGAAAAGTACTATATAAGAAAAAAGAAAGAATTAAGTAAAGGGAGGAAGGGGAGACACACAGAGAGAGAGAGAGAGAGAGAGAGAG